ATACATCATTTAGCTAATGTTAATGAAGATGTATTTAATATATAAATATATATACCAATCTTTGATAGCATCTGATTTTGTATATAGACATTATATGTTTACATGTATATTTAATGTACATGTATTTTTAGTTTCTACTCTGAAATGTTTCCAATTTTGAAATCTTTTTTCAAAATACAAAATGCAGTACAGTACAAATGCAAAATGTAAAAAACGCAATACAAAATTGTCTAAATACCAAAAATAATGCATCCCTAGAAATCAGGGCATCCAGCATACCAAATACCGTGCCTAAAAAAGAGAAATAACTCATAACGCCTGCTCAGGGTTCGAATTTCACCAGTTTCCACCAAAATATCTTTTCGAGTTAGATTACTTGTAAGCAGGGTGCAAACACGAGGCACAGATGATGTTTCTCTTTCAGGTCTCAGAGTGGACCTTGAACTCGCCTCCCTCTGGTCCCTGACGTTGACCCGCTGACATCACTGGGTTAGTGCAGTAGAAGGTCCCAACGGGGGTCTTGTGACTGCTGTCTGGTGTGGTTGTAAATCAGACCTAAGTGCATGATTAGAACAGGGGGGGCATTTTTGCAGTGGTGCCTCTCAGGTGGTGTGTCCTTCCTAATACATCACGTTGGCAAAAATATAATGGCTTTTGCCCCAATGTGGGCGAAGCCAAAATCCATCTGTGGTTTCAGATGGGGAGACAGCTTCGTTCTCACTTCTCCAAGTCGTGGTCATCCAGCAAGTAAGGAGCAAAGTGATGTTTTTCTACTCTGCAAATAACCAAGTCCCCTTCACATTTTCACCTCCGTTGTCTTGGCATCCGTTACTGTTTGGGTTTTGAATCAGTTATTTCGTTTGGGTTGCAAAGTGGTGGTTTTTAAATGCAATCGTCTCTTCTGAATTTTTAGCTGGAATTCTATAGTTTTCTGTCGTCAGCAAGGGCTATTTCAGTTTCTCTCAAATAACCTTCTTGCTAGAAAGGCAGAGGAGTTTCAGAATAAGGACGCAGGCTCCCTCCAATGGGGAGAAATGCTCTCCCCTCAGTTTGGTTTTCCCTTTGTGGGTATCACTCTGAGTTCATGTATTTTTAGTATTCAGTGTGTTTCAAACCATTGCAGTTTTGTGGTTCAGAATATCCTAAATTGGGCCACTGGAAGACTTTTGCAGCTAACCCCTACATCCTCTGAACACAATCCAGGACGGTTGCTCTGCCTTCTGGCACTCAGATATCTCAGACTCCTTTTATATTTCCTGTTCCTAGATCAGCCATTTCTCTTCAATTCCTGCTTATTAATTCTTGCAACCATTTTCTCTGCATAGATTGGCCAGGTCTCTGTGTGTGTGTGTGTGTGTGTGCACGCACGCGCAAGTTCAGGCTGATATTTTATTATAAACCAAACTTTTTTTTTTACTTGTTTCATTTTATATTTAAATCTTTCTTCTCAGACTAAAAATCTTGCTGCCTAACCACATTAACATAATCCCTATGCCTGATGCTGCAATGCACGTAAAATATTTGTAAGAGGCAGTGCCAGTATTACTTTTAGCGGTCAAGCCGCCTGGTGAGAGGTATGATTTTCTTTCTTTCTGTACAATAGAATATTACACGCCAAGGTCTTAGCTTCCCTTGAATTAACTTTTTGCTCCAAGTCGTTAACCTGCCAGCTTGATGTACATTTAGCTTCGTTTATTGCAGTATTTCCATTTTCGGATTGCTTTCTTATTTTTGAATATGTAAACATTACATGGTTCTCAATTAAAATTTGTATGACAGGGATATATATATATATATATAAGCCATGGGGCCGGCCCAGGTAAAAGGTCTTGATTGACTTTTAGCTCAAAATATTTCACACGCCTAAGTGGCACATCTTGGGAAGGCCTGTTCTGATCTCCTTCAAAGGAACAGGGTGGAGGAGAAGGGATACAAGTAAGACTTATCTAAATATAACCTTGTCGGGGCCGGCCCTGTGGTTTAGCCATTAAGTACGAGCGCTCCGCTGCTGGCGGCCCGGGGTTCGGATCCCGGGCGCACACCGACGCACCGCTTCTCCGGCCTTGCTGAGGCCACGTCCCACATACAGCAACTAGAAGGATGTGCAGCTATGACATACAACTATCTACTGGGGCTTTGGGGAGAAAAAGGGGAAAAAAAAGGAGGAGGATTGGCAATAGATGTTAGCTCAGAGCCGGTCTTCCTCAGCAAAAAGAGGAGGATTAGTATGGATGTTAGCTCAGGGCTGATCTTCCTCACAAAAAATAAATAAAAAGACCTTTTACCTGCAGAAACTTTTACCTCTCCCTTAAAGAATTTAAATTGGGAGGCTTGCCCATAATAAGAGTTATTACCAGAAATAATGTAATACCAGAATGACCTATCTGTATGGCAGGACAAACCTCTAATTACTGAACATCTGCTCATCTTATCATCCTGTGGATTACCCTCCTCCCCTCTGAAGCCCCAGGCTCTTATCCCATTCCTTAGCTCAAAATGCCACATATACCCCACTTTACCTTTCTGTCTCTGAGCCTCTCATGTATGTGGCTTTCCTGTATGTACGAAATGAAATTTTATATTCTCCTATTAATCTCTCTTATGTCAATTTAATTCTTAGACCAGCCAGAAGAACCTAAAGGGTAGAGGAAAATTTCTTCCTCACCTACGTCTTACTGATTAAAAAAAAGTCTGTCGTTTGCAATATGTGCTCTGTGACTTTTTTTTTTTTCATTTCACTTAAAATATAAAATATAACCTAGGGACCACATGATTGATACCACTTTATATTCACATATAAGAGATCTTACTCATTCTTTTTTTTTTTTTTTGTGAGGAAGATCAGCCCTGAGCTAACATCTGTGCTAATCCTCCTCTTTTTGATGAGGGAGACCGGCTCTGAGCTAACATCTATTGTCAATCCTCCTCCTTTTTTTCCCCAAAGCCCCAGTAGATAGTTGTATGTCATAGCTGCACATCCTTGTAGTTGCTGTACGTGGGACGCGGCCTCAGCACGGCCGGAGAAGCCGTGCATCGGTGCACACCCGGGATCCGAACCCAGACCGCCAGTAGCTGAGCATGCGCACTTAACCGCTAAGCCACGGGGCCTGCCCAGATCTTACTCATTCTTATCTATGGCTGTATAGTTCTTCATTATATGGATGCATCATAGTTTTTTAAGCAGTCCCTATTATTGAACATTTGGGGTGAGTTCCAATCTTTTGCTCTTATAAATAACCTTCAATAAATAATTATGTGCATATATCATTTGACTTTTTGGCCAGGATATGTGATATTGTGATTTATAATAAGCGTATACTTATTGGTTGGTCTTTGTCCCTGTTTCCGGCTCCCAGCTCCCAAAACCCTTGGAATTTCCTAAGTGTTGAGAGTGATAAAGGTGTTTCTTCTTATGTTAATGAGGTGGGAGGCCTGGTTTCCAGGACAACCAGCCATGTGATCAGAGGACTAGAACTTTCCCCTGATTTCAGGGAGGGAAGGGGGACTTGAGGTTGAATCAATCACCAGTGGCCAATGACTTGGTCAATCATGACTACATAATGAAACCTGCGTAAAAACCCAAAAGGAGAGCTCATCACCCCTTTTTCATAGAGCTTCCACGTAGAGGAAGCAGAACACTTCCACATGCCACCATGCTGGGCACCAAGCTCCACGAGAAGGGATGCTCCTTTGTCGGGACCTCACCTTTTGTATCCCTTCATCTGGCTGTTGATACTTATCCTTTAATATCCTTTGTAATAAATCAGTTATCAAGTGAGTAAGCAGGTTTCCTTGACCTCTGTGAGCTGTTCTAGCAAATTAATCAAACCAAAGGAGGGGTCATGGGAACCTCTGATTTATAGCCAGTAGGACAGAAGTGCAGGTGACAACCTGGGACTTGTGACTGGCGTCTGAAGTAGAGAGTGGTCTTGTGGGACTGAACCCTTTACCTGTGGAATCTGATTCTATCTCTGGGTAGATAGTGTCAGAATCGAGTTGAATTCTCAGTCACCCTGCTGGTGTCTGAGAATGGCTTGTTGGTGTGAGGAAGCCTCCACACGCACATACACAATGGAATTGTGTCCAGGAGCCTACCCAGGGTATTTTTTGGAGTATAATCCCATGAGTGCAAGTGCTGGATCAGGGATAAATGCATATAAAATTTTGGTAAATTGTGCCTAATTTGCCTTTTTTTTTTTGCTGAGCAAGATTTGCCCTGAGCTAACACCTGTTGCCAATCTTCCTCCACTTTGTATGTGGCCGCCACAGCATGGCTGACAAGTGGTGTAGGTCCACGCCCAGGATCCAAACCCTTGAACCCCGGGCCGCCAAAGTGGAGTGTGCCAAACTTAACCACCATGCCATGAGGCCAGCCCCTGTCTTCAATTTAGAGGTGGGACAATTTTATAGACACCTTTCAATGGCCTCTCCTTGGTGTTCCTTGGCTTCTAGACACATCCCTCCAGTCTCCACTTTCGTCCAGTGATGTTCTTCCCTCTATGTGTCTGTGTCCGGATTTCCTCCTCTTATGAGGACACCAGTCATTGGGTTAGGGCCTACCCTACTCCCGTCTGACATCCTCTTAACTCGTTCACATCTGCAAAGACCCCATTTCCAAATCAGGTCACATTTACAGGTACTGGGGATTAGGACTTCAACATAGCTTTGGGAGGGGATACAACTCGACTCCTAACAGTATGCCACTGAACCAAAATGGTGTCTTGTCGTAGGACCCAGTGACCTTCTTGGACGTGGCCGTGAACTTCACCAAGGAGGAGTGGGCCCTGCTGGACCCTGCACAGAGGAATCTCTACAGAGATGTCATGCTGGAGAACTGCAGGAACCTGGCCTCCATAGGTAAGGAGGGCAAGGCGACCCCTTCCTGCTCTTAGTCATGGATGCAAGGAATGCGAGTCAACCACGCCCTGCGTTCCAGGAGGGGTTCTGAGAAATAGGAACGGGATTGTTATTCCAGAGAAACGTCTGCTGCCCCCTAGTGGTGGACATAGTGTTTCCCCCGTGAAACTGGAAACTGTCCTTTGCACTTTTTTTTTTATTTTATTTATTTATTTATTTTTTCCCCCAAAGCCCCGCCCCAGTAGATAGTTGTATGTCATAACTGCACATCCTTCTAGTTGCTGTATGTGGGACGCGGCTTCAGCATGGCCAGAGAAGCAGTGCGTCGGTGCGTGCCCGGGATCGAACCCTGGGCCGCCAGCAGCAGAGCGCACGCACTTAACCGCTAAGCCACAGGGCCGGCCATCCATTGCACTTTTATTCTCTTCATGATTTGGGGGGTTCCTTAAGTGGGTGAACATGGAGCACAGAGAGTTTTAGTGCATTTATGAGGAAAGTGGAGGGATCATTTTGTTGCTCTATACTCATACTCGCTTTACTTCAGAACCTCTGCATGCACCCATTTCATGGAAACTCCTGGCCCCATTCCCTTACATCAGGCACTCCCCCATTTCCCAGTGACCGGGATCTCAACTAGGCACGCGCCATGTGATCTCCCATTTGGAGCAAGAAGTGGGTCTGGGGATAGTGCAGGTGAATTTTACCTGGGCACTTGTACACCTGAGTGCCAGGCAGATAGGAATCCTTATGAGAAAGGATTTTACAAACAACGTGGAAATGTTGATTGAGAATTCATGTCATCCACTGTGGGAAGCAGGCTGGTGGTTCCTCAAAAAGTTAAACATGGATTTACTATATGACCCAGCAATTCCACCCCTAGGTATATACTCAAGGAATTGAAAACGGGTGTTCAAAGAGTTATGTGTACACATGTGTTCATAGCAGCACTATTCACAGTAGCCAGAAGGTGGAAACAAACCAAGTGTCCATCAACAAATGAATGGAGAACCAAAATGTGGTATATCCAGACAATGGAATATTATTCATCCATGAAAAGGAATGAAGTTCTGATACGTTACAACGTGGATGAACCTCGAAAGCATTATGTTAAGTGAAAGAAGCCAGACACAAAAGGCCACATACTATATGATTCCATTTATATGAAATATCCAGAATAGGTAAATCCGTAGAGACAGAAAGCAGGTTAGTGGTTGCCAAGGGATGGAGGGAAGGGAGAATGGGGAGTGACTGCTTAATGTATACAAGGTTTCCCTTCGGGGTGATAAAATGTCCAGGAACTAGGTGGAGCTGATGGTTGTACAACATGGTGAATGTACTGAATGCCACTGAATTGTACATGTAAAATGGTTAATTTTATATTCTGTGAATTTCACCTCAATTTTTTAAAAAAGAATCCATTTCATCTGAGGAAAGCCAAGGGTCATCTATGTGGGAGCTTCTCCAGGTACACAGAGTTTTTTGACTTTCATCCATCTTCTTTTTTTTTTTTTTATAATTTTATTTATTTATTTTTCCCCCAAAGCCCCAGTAGATAGTTGTACGTCATAGTTGCACATCCTTCCAGTTGCTGTATGTGGGATGCGGCCCCAGCATGGCCGGAGAAGCGGTGCGTCGGCGCGTGCCCAGGATCCCAACCCGGGCTGCCAGCAGCGGAGCGCATGCGCTCAACCGCTAAGCCACGGGGCCAGCCCTCATCCATCTTCTCATGTCTTCCTTTCTTTCCCAGAGAAAGACCTGTCCCCCTTCATCTTTAAAATTGCACATCGACTCTTAGTCTGTTTGGGCTGCTATGACAGAATACAATAGCCTGGGGGGCTTAGGCAACAGACATTTACGTCTCACATTCTCGAGGCTGGAATGTCCAAGATGGAGGTGCCAGCAGATTTGGTTCCTAGTGAGAGCTGTCTTCCCGATTTGCAGGTGGCTGCCTTCTTGCTGTGTCCTCACATGGTAGAGAGAGAGAGAAAGCCCTGGTGTCTCCTCCTCTTCTTATAAGGACATTCATCCCATCATGGGGTCTCTACCCTCATGACATCATCTGAACCTAATTACCTCCTGAAGGCCCCACTTGCAAAGGCCATCATCACATTGGGGGTTAGGGCTTCAACATATGAATTTGGGGGGGGACACAGATTCAGTCCATAACAGATGCTTTGTCCAGTTCTCCTCCACTTGGCATTCCTGATCATACCCTCCATGTCTGCAGAACTGTTTCTTAGCAACTCGCTGTCCATACTGAACCCCTGTCAACCACCTGACAGCCCAAATCCCTCATGGCTTTCTCTGCTTGCTCACTCTTGCTTCCTTCTTTTCACATTTGCCTCCCATATGTCGAGTGAACATTTGAAAAGAAATCCACATGGGCATTTGCACAATGGGCAATCCACGTGGAAATCTACATGGGCAATCCCACACAGGGATTTTTATCATCTCCAACCCACCTTTACTTTCAACAAAGAACTTAACTTTTGTGCCACTTTATTTCAGATAAAACCAAAGACTCATTCCGTCAGCAGGACGTTATTACAAAAAAGACATTTCATGGAGTGAACAGAGTGTCTCTCACAAGCAACAATTCCCGGCCCCCCATGTTAGGAGAAGACTGGAAATGCCACAAAACAGAGGAGCTGCACCTGCAGAGGGGGCAAAAATCGAAGCAAGTTGCAGTTGCCCGAGAGAAAGATGAGTCTCCAGTTGGAGTCTGTGAATATCGTGAAATGAGGGACAATTCTAAACCTAGCCCAAAGCTTCTGCCTTCACAGGGAGATGCCACAAGAAAATATATCCCAAAATGTGGTTCAAATATTTTGCAACAAAGTTCTGTTTTAACCAGTAATCAAAAAATCTATAAAAACAATGACTGTGATAGAGTCTTGAGGCAGAGCATTCAGTTGATTCCACATGTGAGAATGCACACAGAGACGAAATCAAACACATGGATTGACAACCAAAACAGTGTGCTTCATATGCATAATAAAACTTATATGGGGGTGAACGTTCACGAATGGGATGCATTTGGAAGAGTCTTCATTGCAGACTCTTCCCTTAAGGCACACAGAACTCATGTTAAAGAGAAAACTTACGTGTCTAATCAGTGTGAAAACATCTTCCAAAATAACTCGATCCATGCTGTGCAGAGGCAGCCTTATGTGGCAGAGGCAAATAATGAGAATAGTCAAAGTGGAAAAACCTTTGCCCGCATTCCATATTCTGATCAGCATAGGAGAACAAAGACTGGAGAGAAAAGGTATAGATGTCATGACTGTAGGAAATCCTTTGTTTATCAGTCATTCCTTAGGAAACACATGAAAATTCACACTGGAGAGAAACCGTATGAATGTAATAAATGTGGGAAAGCCTTTAGATATTCCTTACACCTTAATAAACATGTAAGAAAGCACATTATGAAGCCGTCCTATGAATGTAAGGAATGTGGGAAAGCCTTCAGTAAGTCTTCATATCTTACTGAACATATAAGGATTCACACTGGAGAGAAACCCTATAAATGTGAGGAATGTGGAAAAGCCTTCGTGAATTCTTCGAGATTTAAAATCCATCTGAAGACTCACAGTTGAGAGAAGTCCAGGGAATGAAAGGAATGTGGGAGAAGCTTCACTGATTTTCTCAAAATACTGAACATAAAGGAGGATATGTCGGGAGCTCAATGAGTTAAGGTACATGGGAAACTCTTCTGCAAACTCTCATATCTTACATAAATGGGAGAGTTCACACATTTCAAATTCAAAGGAACCCTGTGAAGATAAAGACTGTGGAAAGCTTTCGATCTTCATTAATCTTTAGTAGACATCTGTCCCCACACTGTAGAGAAACCCTATGAATCTAAGGAATATGGAAAAGCTTTTGAATGTTGCCTCAAACTCAGTCCCTATAAGAACTCATAAGGTGCAGAGACACCTTATGGGAGTAAGGAATGTGGGAAAGGCCTCTTTAAACACTCATCCCTAAGTTAATATAAGACCACACCCTGGAGAGAGACTCTATGATGATAATAGATATGAGAAAGCCTTTAGTTCCATCTCTTCACTCATGGGGCACAAATGAGTCCGTGGTAGAAGATAAACACAGTAAATGTTATAATTGCTGCCGTTATCATCATCATCATCTCATCCTTTGATTGGAACCGAAATTCATTATTTCTCGGTTTTTCTTTTCTCACGAAATCCTATAAGATGAATATCCCTCTATGGACCCTTTCAGCTCTGCCACATGAATTTTGATATGTAGTAGCTTCATTACAAATCACTTACGTACATACAGCTTCACCAACAGGAAACCCTATTTGAGCCACATTTAATTTAGATTTGGGTTTAGTATGGCTCCCTGATACCATTTTTGTCAGTTTGTTGTTACTGCTCATGATTTGCCTGCATTGTGATCAGAGTATATTGTCTTTATGATGCTGATATGGGCTAGTTACTCTGACTTTCATTTCGGGCTCATGGCTGATTCTGTCAATTGGCTGGCCATATCCATTCTTCCCATCTTCTTTACTAAAGGTACATAGGTTTGTTTTTCCAGAGTTAAACACTGTTTAATGTTTTTAAATGCATTTCCCAGTTTTTCTCATAACTGGTGGTGAGCAGAGCTTATAGCCCTGGCCAGTAAGAAGGGTAGAATTCAGTGGTTTGAATTCCTAGTGAGCTGTTGGAAAGAGGAGAGTGTTTGTCACTCTTTTTCTCTTAACCAAGTTCCCTTTGCTCTCTTTCCTTGTTGCTCTCTGGAAATTGGATGAAATTCCCTGAGTTAACACAAGCAACTTTAGGATCATTGGAATGAAAGTCATGGTCCCAATAATACAACCCTCAAAATACAAGATTTCTTACTCCCCAATGGCATGATTTTGGGTGTCCGTGGCTGCAGCAGACTGTATTTCTAGACTTATTACACGAAGCAAACCTCTAGTTTGATTAAAAAGCATTTTCAGGGAGATTTTTATAACTCAGAGTTCAATGCTAAGTGATAAACCTAGTGTGTGGCCAGTTTTTTATAATTGCCTCTTGTGTGTTTCAAAGTACTGTGTATTTCTTTGGTTTGGGTGGACTCACGGTTCAATACATGTCTGAACGGTCAAGCTTCCAGAGTGTTTTATAATCTCTTGAATGTAAAAATTTTGACTCGTTCGATCTTTTACTGAGCAAGTTTATAATAAAACATCCCACTCTAGAAGTGGATTATCAAAGTCTTCGAGTTTTGTCAATTCTAGCTTAATGTATTTGGAACCAATGTTATTAGATGCATAGGAGTTTGGGCATTTTCTTGATTACAGGTGAGTTTTCTTTCTAGTCTATGTTTTAACCATCTTTTCTACCCACAATGGTTTTTTTGGCTCATTCCTATAATAAGGGTGAAAATTTATGTACCCCTCACCATGAGCAAGTAAACAGCTATCATCTCCTTTATGACCACCACTCCATGGATAAATACTTTGAACATCTTTTTATAAATGAGGAAACTCAACACGGCATGTAAGGAAACTCACCAACATTAAATGGCTTCTTTTGAGTTTCAAAGCAGTGGGTGTTTTCATTGTCAAGTTCAGGGTTCAGTACATGTGTTAGTTTCCTGTTGCTGCTGTAACAAATTACCACATATGTAGGGGCTTGAAACAACACCAATTTATCTTACATTTCTGGTGGTCAGAAGTCCAAAATGGGTCTCCTGGACTAGAATCAATGTGTCCACAGGGCTACATTATTTTCTGGAGGCTCTAGGAGAAAATCCATCTGCTCGCCTTTTCCAGCTTCTAGAGCCACCTGCATTCCTTGGCTCGTGGCCCCTTCCTCCAGCTTCAAAACCAGCAACAGTGGTTGGGTCCTTCTCACATGACACCCCTCTGGCCCTTACCTTTCTGTGAGAGTCCTTCCACTTCCAATTATAAGGACCCTTGAGACTACACTGGGCCCCCCTGGATAATCCAGGATCATCCCCCATCTCAAGGTTGATTAGCAACATTAAATCCATCTACAACCTTAATTTCCTTTTGCCATGGAAGGTAACATTCATAAGCTTGGAGATTAGGATGTGAGTATCTTTGGGGGCCATTCTTCCGTCTACCACAATATGTTTGTGAAATACCAAGCTTATTAACTGACCAAAAGAAAACCTGCAACACTAAATTATTCTGGCTTTTGAAACTGTACTATTATTAATCAGAGATGTTTCTCTGAGCATCTCCTTTAGGTCGTGGACTGTTGTAGATTCTGGGTCTAGATTGGGTCAGCAAACTTTTTCTGTAAAGAGCCAAAGAGTAAATATTTTAGGCTCTGTAGGACAAAGTCTCTCTCCCCACTGCCCAGCTCTGCTGCTAGAGCACAAAGCAGCCATACACGTGTGAGCAAATGGATGTGGCTGTATCGCAATGAAATCTGTTTATAGAAATTTGAATTTCATGTAATTTTCGCATATCATGAAATAGTCTCCTATGTTTTGATTATTTTTCTCCAGCTATTTAAAAATGTAAAACTGGGGCCAGCCCCGTGGTGTAGCGGTTAAGTTCAGCACACTCCACTTCTGTGGCCCGGGTGTGTGGGTTCAGATCCTGGGTGCAGACCTACACACCACTTGTCAGCCATATTGTGGTGGCAACCCACATAAAAATAGAGGAAGATTGGCAACAGATGTTAGCTCAGGGCGAATCTTCCTCAGCAAAAAAAAAAGAAAAAATGTAAAACCATTCTTAGCTCACAGGCCTGATGTGGCCCGCAGGCTATCATTTGCTGATCTCTGGTCTAAAAGAAAGAACAAACCAAGCCTTTACCTCATAGCATCTGCTTTCTTGTGGAGAAGACAGAGACATATAAAGGCACAGCTTTCTCTATCCTGATTTTTTTCCTTTTCCTTTCAATTTTTTAAAAATTGGGAAATATGGATACCCAAAGTGTGTGAATGTACACACAGAGTGAAAAGTGAGCAAAGTAATAACCACACACCCACCATCCAGGCCCATAAACAGTTCGTCATTAAATGCCGGGCAATTCATGTCTGCCCCTTACAGGCGGCGGCCCCCCCAGTTCCAAAGAGAAAATGACTATCTTGCATTTTATTTATTTATTTATTTTTAAAAACTCTTTTTTTTTTTTTTTTGTGAGGAAGATCAGCCCTGAGCTAACATCCGTGCTAATCCTCCTCTTTTTGCTGAGGAAGACCGGCTCTGAGCTAACATCTATTGCCAGTCCTCCTCCTTTTTTCCCCCAAAGCCCCAGTAGATAGTTGTATGTCATAGTTGCACATCCTTCTAGTTGCTGTATGTGGGACGCGGCCTCAGCATGGCCAGAGAAGTGGTGCGTTGGTGCGCACCCAGGATCCGAACCCGGGCCGCCAGTAGCGGAGCGCACGCACTTGACCACTAAGCCACAGGGCCGGCCCTATCTTGCATTTCAGATTATTCATTCCCCTGCTCATCTTTATGTTAACTGCCTATGCATAAATCCCCAAATATCATATTTTCTGTTGTTGCTGAGTTTTATACTGCATATTGAATATTTCTTTGTGTCTTGCTTCTTTCAGAGAAAGAGAGATTAACCCAGGTAGGTTGCAGGCAGCATTAGTCCCTTCATTTTCACTGCCCTGTAGGTGAGTTTTTAGTTAAATTCATTTAGGAGACCCTTGTTATGTACCTCACTGTAGATACGGCAAACATTGCTGCTGAAACCGATTTTGATAGGTTTCCTGGTGGCTATCTGCAGGTCACTCTTGAAGTGGAGCTGCTGCGTTGTACAACCTGCATATGTTCAATAGAAAAAGCATTTTAGACAGAATAGGATTGTATGGGGGCCGACACGGTGGTGTAGAGGTTAAGTTCACGCATTCCGCTTCGTCGGCCCGGGGTTCGCCAGTTTGGATCCTGGGCGCGGACCTAAGCACCGCTCATCAAGCCATGCTGAGGCGGCGTCCCACATAGAACTAGAAGGACCTACAATTAGGATATGCAACTACATACTGGGGCTTTGGGGACAAAAAAGAAAAGAATAGGATTGTACAATTCCATTTGTATGGGATTGCCAGAAGAAGCAAATCTGTCAAGACAGAAAGCAGATCAGTGGTTCCCTGGGGTTGGAGGTGGGACAGGAAATTGACTGCCAGCTGACAAGAGGGAACTTTTTGCGATCACAGGGCTGTAGTGATGACTGCACAATTCTGTAAATTTATGAAAAGTCATTGAATTGTACAGTGACCGTGGGTGGACTTTACACTATGTAAATTATACCTTAATGAACCGGTGAAGGAAGGAAAGGAGAAAGAAAGGGGGAAGGAGAGAAAAAGAGAAACATCACAGGTCCTCTTGGGCACCCACAGCTGTGTGGCGTCCAAAAGCTCTGGTAAGTTCAGCTTCTGGTGTTTGGGGAAGAGCTGTGGGCAAGGGACTCTGTGGGTGCGAGAACTCTCCAGCTTGCCTGTTTCTCCCTCAGCCCCACTGCCTGCATTTATGCCTTATCCTAGAATCTGGGTGCATTTGGGCCCTTCCACATCAGCCCCAGATCGTGCACAAGGAGCTGTGCTCACTCCTATCCCCATGGAGCGCCGTGCAGAGGAAAAGGACCCTGGCTGGGAGTCAGAGTCCATGGACTTGACTCCGAGGGGGTAAAAATATGGCTTTGGGGATCTCTCC